AAGAGTCCTACCGGTTCAAGGTAACAACTACTCTAGTAGTAGGATTCGTTGGCGACATGTACGAAGAATCGAAACTCAATTTCGAGTTCGGACGAGTCCGAACGGGCCCGATATGCGAAGTCATGCACAGAAGCTGCCAACTTCAGGTCAAGAGCTTTGGGAGAATAAGTTTTCAAGCATAAATTAGATTCGAAAGCATAAATACGTAGAAGGCTTCGTTGGCGACATGTAGGAAAAAATAGAATTCAATTCGGAGTTCGGACGAGTCCTAACGAGCCCGAATTTCACATCTGATCTAAAAAAATTAAAAAACTAATTTTGTAAATCCGTTTAAAAAAATGGATTATGGAAATCTGTTATTCTATCCGTCTGTTTGATTCTTGTCCACATTATTTTTTTTTATTTTTTTTTTATTTTTGGCCACATATTATTATTTTTTTTAATTAAATAAGCGACCCCAAACAAACGAGTCTCACAGTCAAGACAAAAGAAAGAGTAATAAAATAAAATAAAAAGGCAAGCTGCCAAGTCATTCCACTTTAGAGCCGACCTGTCAGCAGATCTAGACTGTGTCGGGTATTGATACTCTACGCCCACCCCTCCCTACACCTCAACTTAACGTTCTATACTAATGTACTTCATAGAGGATAAATTGGTCAATGAAGAAATAGTACAATTGAATCATGTACTAATTTGTCTATGGATGTGTGTATTTTATGTTGACTCTTGCGGATGGTGGTCCAAAAATTAGTTCAATTGTTGTAGCATGTGGTATGTGGGTTTAAATTTGAACATCTCACTAGCATATATATATATATATATATATATATATGTTAGTTATGGTCAGGGTTTAGTTCGGTTCGATCCGAATCTCCAATCGTCGAACCGAACCTACATGTTCGATAATATCATATACTCATTTCGCAATTGAACAAAATTTAAGTCCATTTTTTCTTTCGATAATTTCGGTATTGTTGAAAGAAAAAAATGTATGAAAACAGTCTATACAAGACATAAGCACAAAAGACAACAATAAAATTTTAAGTCTTCATAACAACAGGATGAACAATAAAACCTGAATTTTAGAGCATCTTTGTGTTGTATGACATGAAGAAAACAATATTATAAAAAGTGTGTCTCACAATGATTAGTGTTAATTGTGGTATAATTTGTGATGTGTAAATTTGTAATTGATTAGAGAAGAAAGATAAATTGAATAAATAATATAATATATTGTAGAAATTGTTTGGAATGATTTCTACATATAAAAAGACTTCTAAATATTTTTCATGCCACGTAAGACTATTTGTGCAATATGATAACAAAATAAAGCAATTGAAAGACCATTCGAGACGCTCTTATATATTTCTTTTATTAACACTGAGTAGTGGGTCTCACATATTCTCAACGGTTACTCGCACTTTTGCAATACCAAAGCTACAATTGAAAAAGAAATAAATCTTATATCCTTAAGTATCAAGCCTACGACTGAAACGTATCAAATCGAGCATGGACCTTGTCAAACGTAGATCGAATTTTTTTCTTGAATGCTCGAGCTTGATCGACGAACCATGCAAAATTATGCTCGACTTGACTTCTGAAAAATAAGAATGTTCGAGCTCGACTCGATGCTCGAGTTCAACTCAAAATTTGACAACTAAATTTTAAATATAAATGTACTATTTTTAATCTAAATAGACAATTTGGCTTTGGTGTTCTAATATTGATAATTAAATTATATGAGATACTTGTGTAAACAAAATGTCGAGCAGCTTGTCAAGCTTACGAGCCTCTTGAAATAATTCTCGAGGCTTGACTCGTTTGCTCGATTGAACTGCTAGAGCCTCGAGCTCAATTTTGACCGAGCTCGAGTCGTCAATCAAGCATTAGCTCGAGTGAGCGGCTCGTGAGCCGTTCGACTAATTTTCATCCCTAATCGACTCGGTTGCAATTCTAATTAAACTTATTCACATTGGATGGAGATTAATCTAGGCATGTGGTTTTCAACAGCAAATGGGAGTAACACAAATTTTTAGGCGAGACAATCTAGCTATTAGGTTGGTTGAACCGTTATACTTAATGAGAAGAAAAATGTATACTTATACTATCAGTCATACTTTGTCATACTTTTATTTACAATATTTTTTAAAATAAAATATTTTTCAATGGAAGTAATTATATTTATAAAAAGAGTACCATCGGTTTGACACAAGATCTGCAGAAACAATTTATGATGATAACAAACCTATTGAAAATGAATAACAATTCAGAACTCTAAAATAACTAACGAAAAAATTATAAAATGGGACGCTATATGAGAGTCTTTTTTTTTTTTTTTTTTT